CAGAGGGACAGCACATCATAGGTGGCATTATGAGAGGTCATCCTGAGGTTAATTCCTTTCCCTGAATAAAAACCTTCCAGTTCCATCACCTTCCCACTTGGATACAGGTCCCTAAATCTATTCAAGCCCTTTCCAGGTCCCCCAAACAAGAACAAACTTCCCAAGGCAAAGCAAAGCTCAGGCTGTGACATCAATTTACAAGGCAGCTCTGACTGCAAACACAATTCTCTTTCAGCTGCTGCAAGAAGCATCCTAGAGAGAAAGGGAAATGGGAAACTGGCACAGGGTGCCCAGAGCAGCTGTGGCTGCCCCTGGATCCCTGGCAGTGCCCAAGGACAGGTTGGACATTGGGGTTGGAGCACCTGGGACAGTGGAAGGTGTCCCTGCCCATGGCAGGGTAGAACTGGATGAGCTTTCAGCTCCCTTCCAACCCAAGCCACTCTAAGATTCTATTTAGAATTATTATATTTTTATTATTCTATTTCTAAGATATTATTTCAACAGTTCCTGGAGGCTGGAAATCATTCTTTCCAGAAACGTTGGAAACAGAAAAGGTGTTGGTGTGTGCTGAATGACTCTACAGGCTGTGATATTATGGACATAGTAATTGAATTCCATTTAAATAAGATGGAACTTTGTTTGTTTAATTGGAGTTTTTCAAGATCCCTCAAAGATGCTAATTTTCCCATTAGTTCCTCTTTTATTCATTAGCACTAAGCAAGAGACGAGGAGTAAAAATAGGTTGAGAACAAAAAAAAAAAAAAAAATCAGAAAACCAAACTAGAATTCTCTTATATCTTTAAAAGCATTAAAATGTAGCTAATTATTTTTTGTTAATAAATATTTCCCGGGGTGAGAAATGGCAATTAAAATCTAAAGCCCAAGCTCTATTTTGAGCCCCCCTTTTTGTCTTTGAGGTAAACCAAATAAAGCAGGTACATCCACGCACTCTCTCCTTTAAAAGAATGCTGTTCTTACAGAGCTCCATATGAAGATGAAGTGTGACTCAATATCTGCATCACTGATGGTGCTGATAGGGAGTGATTCTAAAATACAAATTGTGAACCATAGCCCCTGCTGGAATATGTGTTTTAACACCCTGCATTTGCCAGAATAACACAGAGGGACCAAGTCACTGAGCCTGCTCATCCCCTAATTGGTCCCCAGGAAGGAAGGAAGCTCTCACCTGGCTCCAAAGGAGCTCAGGGAAGGAGAGAGTTCTCCTTCCATCCACCCACACACACATCCACCCACAACCCTCCCTGACTCAAATCTTCGGCTTTCTGCTCCTCCTGGCTTGATTTGATTTCTTTAGCTGCCCTGAGAGTCCTTAAAAACCCATCCAGCAGGCAGAAGTGCCAGGAGCACCAGCCATGTGCCTGATGTTTCTTTAATTCCATGAAGCAAAGCAGCAGCGACAGCCCGAGCGTGAATAACTCACCAGGAGGGTCTGGGGAGCAGCTGAGGAGCTGTCCTGCCACTCCCAGCTCCAGGGCTCTGAGGTGAAGCAGTGCAGGGCTTCTCTGCCCACATCCCCAGATTGGTGGCCCATGAGAAGCCATCTGGCTGGCCAGGAGCTCCCAGTTAGTCCCAGTGTGCCACACACAGAACCTGCTGGAGAGGAGGGAGCCAAGCGAGAATCCACTGGGTGATGCTCGTTATCTGAGGATGGGGAGAGTAGGGGCTGAAGTAAATTAATTTTTGATCAGGGAAGGTGACAGGGGAGGTATAAAGGTCACTTCTGGTGCCCCAAAGAGACACAGACCTGTGGCTTCTGTCTCCATCAAACAGCCATGCCAAGGGTCTGCATAGTACTGCCTGAGGAGAGACCAAAGTTTATCCACACGAGTGCCTAAAGAGCTTCCTTTTCTTCCCTGGACTCTGCTCCAAGGCCTTAGACTCTGGTCTCAGACTCTTTTCTAACCCAAATGACTCTGTTCCAACCCAAATGACTCAGTGATTCTATCCCAGGATTCCATCCCCTTGGAAAAGGGGAGTGACTGAGCAGAGCTCAATTGCCAGCTGGGGTTAGCCCTCGACAGATGCCCGGCAGATTCTTTCCTCCTGATTTGTATATAATGAAGCCATTTCATGGGTCCATCGTGCTCCCTTAGGTACACAAAATAAATAAGCCCAGAAGTGTTCAGCAAACCCCCTCTTAGAGGGATTAGCAGCAGGGGAATTAGTTATGTAAATCACTTGGGCCTTCAGAACACAAAATACACACTGAGAAAAAAAACTTCAGCTTCCTCCTGATATCTACAAAGGTTTTCCCCTTGATTGTAGATTTTCCCCCAAATCTGACCTTCCATATTCCATCACAGCTTCACTGGACTCTCTCATTCTGCCTCCCATTATTTCACATCTATTGCTTAGGGAGAATCCTCTTTTCCCAACTGTCATCCCTAATCCTTTTTCTCCGGGCATGAATTTCCTCCCCCACTGTTCACCCAGGCTTGACTCTGATGCCAGACCCCTGTCACAGCAGGGAATTATTCAGGAGCAGATCTTTTCAATCCTGGAGGCACCACAGCTCACTAAGGGATAACAGCATGCTGTGTCAGGAAACCAGCCTGATAAACCCAGGGCCTCGTGCACTGGAGGCAAGGGAAAAGCCTGAATTCCCCAGTCCTTGGGGGTTTTGCAGGGTTCATTTGAGCCCAAGAAGAGGCTGAGTGTGGAAAGAAGAGCCGGAATCGCCTTGATGCCAAGTGGGGGTGAGTTTCCCCTTTGTCACAGAATTCCTGCCTTTCATAAATGTATCACCAGAAGTCCCCATTTTTTCCCCCTGGTTCTTCCTAGCAAGTTTTCCCACATTTTTCTTCACAGTGGCTCCCAGCTCACACAGCACCTCACTGTGGTCCTGCAGCTGGCTCTGCCTGCTGAGATTGAAGGATTTAAGCTGTCCCTGAGTGTCCCTTGGACACCTGCCCATGCTGTCGATGCCAGGGGACTCCTCTCAGCAGGGCTGCTGTTCCTACCCAAGGAGGAAACTTGCTGAGGCTCTGGTGCTGTGAAGCAGCAGCAGCAAAACCTTCCTCTTCTCCCTCATTTCCTCAGTCCACCTCTCCTAAGAGGGTAACAAGCCCTGGTTTTTAAGGAAGGCATCACCTTTAGGCTTTTCTCATATAATCACTAAGGTTGGAAAATCCTTCTAAGATCATCAAGTCCAGCCATCAACTCAACACCTCCATGGTGTTCACCACTAAGCCACGTCCTCAAATGCTACATCCACAGGGCTTTTGACCACTCCCAGGGATGGTCACTCCACAACTTCACTGATTTTGGAAAGGAGACAAACCCTGTAGGTCTGTCTTCATCCCCTCAGCATGAGGAGTCCTGATCTGGAAACAGGGAGCTGTCAGACCCTGACCTGCTCCTTTCAGCCCTTTCAAGCCTGGCTTTTGAAAACAAAACAAACCAAAACTGAAGTGAAAGATGCTTTCTCTCCACCATGCCAAGCTCTGGGAGCGAGCAGGCTGCCAGCTCTGCTCCTGAGCTGCAGTGAACAGCTGCTGCTCGTGGAGATGACAGCTCTGGAGGCTCCGAGGGAAAACTGCCCAAGCACTGAGCACCGAGCTCTCCCACACGTGCAGAGGCACTTGCTAAGCCCCAATAACTGTGCTGCAGGGTATCTTTTGCCTTCTTATTGTGCAGGGATTAAAGCCTGGCTGCCTTGATCAGAAAACTGTCCTGATTGCTCACAAACTCTCAGCCTCCCCGGTTAAAACTGATTTAAAGAGACAGGAAAAGCAATGAGAAATCAGCTCCTGCTCCGTCCTTTAAAACAAACTTAATTTTGACACCTAATTATGTGCAAGTCAGACTCATTCCTATTCCTTTTGCCAAGCTGCTTTTTTTGTGAGTTTTGATCTCACAGGGTGCTCACCCTCACAGGGAGGGAGGCTTTGATTAGGAGGAAGGAGGAACTCCTGGAGAGGGGAAAGGCTGAAGGAATAAAGGTACCTGCAGCACGATGCTGCCTCTGCCCCTCACCTGCTCTGTGACCTTGGGCATGTGGCTCTGGCAGCTGAGCTTTGATTTCCCTGCTTTTAAAGGAAGGGAAGCAATCAGTTTCCTCCTCCACATGGTATTTGGAGACAACAAACTGCAAAGTGCTGAACCCGAGGAGCAGTAAAACCATTCCCGTAGCCTAATGAAAGCTCCAGAGAAGAAGCAGAATATATCCATTTCCCCCATCTCTTTAAGCAGGGCTAAGGAAGAGAAAAGAAAGCCCCTGCCCTGGCTGAGAGCAAGAAGCAGCACTGCAAGTGATGCACTGAAAAGTAGGGAACACGCTGGAGTGCAGGAATTCATTTACAAGGCTAGTTTGCAAATTAATGGCTAAATCAATTAAATGAAAGCATGGGATTTCTCTTGAGGAAAGTCTAGTCACGGTGGCAGGGAGAAGGGGAGGGGTTGTGGAGCAGGGATGACATAATCACGTTTGCGAATCACCAGCAGTGTGCATGCTTTAATCCATTAATGGGGTTTTTATCTGTGATCATAAAAAGCAGGTTAGATTCAGCCTGGAAGGGAGCGAGGGTTGGAGGCGAGGGGAGGGGAGAGAAAGACAGAGAGGGAGAGAGAGGCAGAAAGCACAGGAGAAAGAGAGCACAATTTGCTCGGTGGATTGCTTGCAAGCTTGGGGCTGATAATTAGGGATCTCAGGAGAGCAGCTTCTCAGAACGACACGCTCTCCTCCAAATGGACCGACGGCAGGCAGTGGTTCAGTCCTGCTGATATTTTTTAAGCCCTCCTTGCAGTTTGATGGGCATTCCCAGTGCTTTTGTGCACGTCTCGGGAAGCGTTGACGTGGAAAGGAGCAGCGAGGAGGGGGAGTTTGGAGGAGAAAACTGCAGCTCCTCTAAAAATACGGAGGGCATGCACGGGAGCGAGCAGGCTGGCGAGGAGGGCGAGGCGGGGGCACCTCGCACCATGGTCCCCCGGTGCCGGCGCGGCGCAGTTTCGGAGATGTCCCTGCTGTGACTGGACGCACCATGAGCATCTGGGAGCTGCTCCTGGCTTTCGTGGTGGTGGTGCTGATGCTCGTGGCCCTGCTGGCCAACGTGCTGGTGCTGATGTGCTTCCTGTACAGCGCCGACATCCGCAAGCAGGTCCCGGGATTGTTCATCCTCAACCTCACCTTCTGCAACCTGTTGATGGCCGTCTCGAGCATGCCCCTGACCTTGGCTGGGATCATTTACAAAAGTCAGCCGGCAGGAGATCAGGTCTGCCACGTTGTGGGCTTCCTGGAGACTTTCCTCACCACCAACTCCATGCTGAGCATGGCAGCTTTGAGCATTGACAGGTGGATTGCTGTGGTCTTCCCTCTAAGCTATCACTCCAAAATGAGGTACCGAGACGCCGCTCTCATTCTGAGCTACACGTGGTTGCACTCGGCGTCGTTCCCCATAGTGGCAGCTTCTCTCTCCTGGGTGGGTTTCCATCACCTCTACGCCTCCTGCACGCTCTACAACAAGAGACCAGAGGATAGGACACAGTTTGTGATTTTCACTGGGGTCTTTCACGCCCTCAGCTTCCTCCTCTCCCTGGTAGTGCTATGTTTCACATATCTCAAAGTGCTGAAGGTGGCACGGTTCCACTGTAAGCGCATCGACGTGATCACTATGCAGACCCTGGTGCTGCTTGTGGACATCCACCCCAGGTAAGCTTCCCCTGAGTTCAGCAGCTGTTCCTGGCAGAAGTGAGGAGGGGGCTCAGTGTTGTGTCAGAGAATGGATGGGGATGGGGAGGAAACAAAAATCCTCTCAGCCTGTTTCTGTCCTGCACGGTTCTTTTCACTTGTGTTTAATTCTCTGATTGCTGAACTCATTTTTGGTTAGGCTTAAAGACTTGTTTTGGGAGGGAGAGCAAAGGAACAGGCAGCTTTGGCCAAGCATGCACGTCCCTTTGAGACAGTGATCAGATCACTGCCCTTTGTCTCTGAAGGTGGATTTAGTGGTCAATAGCTTTGCATATTTTGGGCAATGTCAGCCCCAAACCCTTTGCTGGATCCCTGAGAGGGAGGAGGCTGCACATGTCCCTTGGAGTTTGGAAGGGAAGCTGAGCGCTGCCTGCTGCTCCTTTTCCCAGCAGTTTCCCCAATGCTGTGCTCTCTGTAACTTTTTCATTCCTGAAGGCAGAATCCTTAAGGGAATTACATCTGCAAAATTCATGTGCTCGAATGCCTGTACTTAGACCTTAAGTGAGAGAGAATTCAGTAGCAGTGTTAATGTGACAAACAAGGGATGTATAAAGCTCATTTCAAATGGGAGATTTTAGGCAAGTCCCTTGTGCCTCGAGAAAAGAGGAGAAAAGTCCCCAGGGAGCGGCAGGATTGTGGGCTGGAAGGCAAGAACCAAACAGGGAAAGGAATGTGTGCAGAAGGAATTATGCATAAGCCATAAATCTTGCATGAATAATTGATGTATAAGTCTGGAAGGGATGCAGGCTCCGTGTGTGATACAGGGAGGAAATCTGCCTGGAAGAGAGCAGAGCAGAGAGCAGAGAGGGCAGTCCCATGCCACACATCCCATTTGAGCATCCCTGCTCCCCTTTGCTCCAGCAGCCTCTCCATCTGCAGCAGCCCGGAGCAGAGCTGCAGGGCTCAGAGCACATGTGGCTGTCCTCAAACACAGGTCATGGTTTGGGGATGCCTGAGGCTAAGACAAATAAGTCTGGAAGGTTCAGAGCAGAGCAGCACATTTTAGAGGAACAGAAACATTTGCTCAGAATCCTCCTGTTAAGCTGTTTGAGCTGTCTCTTGACCAAGAATGCAGAGCAGAACTTTGGACAAGTCTTGCTGCCGTTCTTGAGAAACACAGGGATAAATCTTCCCTTATTCACCAAGTCACACTGAGGAAAAAAAAAAACTCCCTCCTGCCCTTTGTGCTGTCTGCTTGATGAGCTGTGCCTCGACTGCCTCAGTTCCTGCAGCATGAGGAGATGTGCTCCTTACTCCCAGGAAAGTGCCACAAACCCACCAGGGCTGTTTGAAACCCCACTCGTTTTGCCTAATGCTAAAAGTATGCCTGGACTGCGCAGCAAAGTTTAGTAAAAGGGCAAAAATCTCAGTGTTGCTTCTCCTCCCCTGCATTTTTTCTGGTTGAGATTGATTTGAGGGTGCTTGTGCATTTTGTGATCCTCTCACTGCAGGGTGGATTCAGTAGGGCTGTGGGAATGATGCTTCCTCTCTTCAGGGCAGACAGAGCTGTGCAGGCACTCTGCTGTGTAACCTGCACCACTGCCTTTACCTCTGGCACCAGCTTATTCTGGTGCCTCTCTCTAAGAAAGGAGTTTTAGTTTCTTTGCTACCCTGCAGAGCTGGTGGCTGATTTGACCCCTGGAGGGGCTGCTTTAAGCAGTGACAGTTCCTGCTGCTGGAAGGGGCAGATCTCAGGTCACCAAGCCTCCTGTGAGAGCCACACAGGGGCTGCAGCTCTGCTGGCAGAGTCAGAGATGCTCAGAAAGGTCTGATAACAAAGGCATCATTTGCATTGTGTAACAGGCAATTTCAGGGGGTACTGTAGTACCTGACAGCACAGCTGTGGATGCTGGGAGAGCCCAAATGAGAGAGCAAAGTTTGCAATTCCACTTTAGGCTACTCTGACTCCTCTGGCTCACGGCAGGGTCCAGTTTCAACACTGGGAAATGTGTACAGACAATTTTCTGCTTCCCATGACTCAGAATCCACCCGCAGGGGGGTCTGGTGACAGGAGTTGTGACAGATGGCTTTATTACCTGTGACTTAGAAAGACACTAGAGATCTCCTGAAGATCATTCAGGACAGCACAAAGGAAATCTCCAAATACCCTGCAAATATGTGTGAATGTTTGGGGCACGGGGCATTTCAAGTTAGCTGAGGCTTTTTTAGTGGATCCTGCTTTTTCTTTGTTCTTAAGACCAAAATATCTTGGGTATCATGGGAGATTTGGGCAAAACTTCACTTAAGTGCTTAACCCATGTATTTCCTAATTCAAATTATCTATACTATCTTTTTGGTGTATCCAGCTCTACACATCTTAAGGTCCAATATCCCATAAACTTTGTTTAAAATACCAAACCTTCAAAGGGATATAGCTCAGATTTGCCAGGATATTAAAATCTTTAAATGAAAGCTTAGCCAATAATCCTGTTCTATTACTGATGCCACTGCTAGAACTCACACGTTCTTATCTTAGTGCATGAAAGTGTGTGCAAAACCAAAATATTCATCTGTGTGCATGGTCTACATGAAAAAGTGAGATAAAATACCTTCCTCTGTGATGTGGTATTTATTGGATATGTCTGGAAGGGCTGAACAAAAGAAATGGGTTTAAGTCTACCAGGACACTCATGGGTGAGCTCCAGGAGTGAGAGACAGATTTGCATGTGCCAGAAAGGAAAAGATGTAACTGAGGAAACAGAGACAAAAATTACACCACCCTCTCTTCCCTAACAACACCTCAATTGAACCTGGTTTGGAGATTCACTTTTCTGTATTGCCATGGGCTTGGGATATTCTGAATTTAAGAACACAGGTCTTAAACAAAGCTCATTAAACTCTCAGATCATTTTTCTGCACATAAAAATACTCCAAGTTCCCCAGCTCTTGCAGAATTGAAAGCACACAGGTTCCCTTGAAAAGGTGGATTTTTTTTTCCCTTCTCAGCTGTCATTTCTAGCTGCAAATAACTCACATATAGAACATGTAACACCTTTAAACATGTCATATTCTTTACTAGAAAGACAATTTTTTAGAAGAACAAACTTTTCCTCCAGTATTTATTTCATCACGTCATGATAGCTGCTCTGGGTCTGGCAATGTAAGACCAAATTTAGAAAGGACCAAAAGAAACACTTTTTCTTTAACAGAACCAAAGGAGCTCATTGCCACAGAGATCACTGAAACACACTGAGATCCTCAGGACACAGCATGTGTTTGGGTGTTGATAAAACATTTACAGAAGAAGTAAATAATGTAAGGGTATGGCCATGAGCCTCAGAGCTGTGAGAGTGTGGAGCCTGAGAGTGAGTCACCAATTAAAAATTTACAGCAAAAATGGAAAGACCGATGCCAAACAGTTGGGTTTAAAATATAGATATAGATGATTAGATATAGATATAGATACAGATATAGACATAGGTATAGATAGATATATATAGATATAGATAGAGATAGATCTATATAGATCTGTGGAAGGAGTCAGCAACTCTACCATGGGCACAGAGAGGGGTCCAGGATGCCAGTCTGGCTTTGCTGTGCCCTTTCCAAAGGGATTTATTGAGGTACAGGCAGTCCTGGCACTGTGGGAGATACCAGTGCTGCCCAATCCACCTGCCTGGCGTAGACAGGAGCTCATCCATTTCCCTCAGAAATCACAGGGAGCACAGGAGTCCCTCAAACAGACAGAGGAGGAGGATGAGCTTTCACACTAATCACTGATTTCACAAGCCAGTGTGCTGATTTCAGGGATTTTTTTGCACTGAAAGCAAGGTCTAGCCCTGTGCTCCTTGCTGGGACCTTGAGAGGATTCAGAACTCTCTGGTGGCCTGCCGAAACCACCAACAGAAAACTCAAAGGAAAAGTTCCCATCCTAAAATAGCATAGGTAGGAAAGAAACCAAGGTGTGACTAATTTGTACTTGTTTAGTTAGAATCAGGGCTGGTTTGAGGTGAGGAATGAGGATATCCCACACTGTGGATTTGTGAAACAATTCCAGCTTTGTGGAGCATTCAGCCCTGCAGATCTGATGGGATGTTTATGGCCACACAGCTCAATGGGACACAGTGAGAGCTCCCATGTTGGGCTGGAGGTTCAGTGTTCTTTTTCCCATTATGATGTTGTTGTTTTGTTGGTTATCTTGCTGGGGTGTTTCCAGTGGTGTTGGAATTGCTGTTTCTAGGGAGGAAGCGTGCTGCCTATCCCATTCTGGATATATGGGGATTTTTGAAGGAATTTTGAATGAGTTAGAGACAGGACCTCTGAATTGTTTTTGATTATGTGGTTTACTTTCTTATCTTCTACATAGGAAGGGTGAGCTCAGCTCAGATCTTCACTGCATGGTTCATAAGGTCACAAGACTTCTAGTTGCAAGACATTTTAAGGAGTTATTCACCAATTAAACACTGCCATCAAGGATATTTACGTTTTTGACCCAATCCTTAAATATTTCATCTTATGGACTCATGCTACAGTGTGAGCTTTCTTAGCCAGTCATGTTATGACACACAAACTTACAGTACTGCATTGTAACTACTTTTATTTTTTCTATACCTTAAACTTTTAAAACTCTAAACTTATTCTTTTTAACTTGACATGTCTCTGCTTTAAACTATAAATCCCCATTCTCACTTCTAGCACCTAAGTTTGGAAGCCTTTCCAAGGTCTCACATCAAATCCTGTGTTTAATTTTAAGCTTTGGCTTACAAGCCCAAAGTTCTGAGAATTCCCTGCATTTCGGATTCCAACAGGATATTTTCCAAACCCCTAAGTATCATCTTGCCTGCAAATACAGGTTACAGTAGTTCAAGAAGGAGCTGCAAACTGAATTCAAGGATGAATTCCACCAATTTTTCTACAGATCAATTGATATAATGGGGGTGTGTGCACACAAACATACAACCACGTATTTGTCAGTAACTTTGTGGAGGGTAAGATGAACAGACAATGCATTAATGTTTGGTTTTATCCCACTTAAACACAGTGCACTATTGGTTTACACAGCTAAAACAGATTGTTGTCCATCATTCCATGGTGAAGGCACGGGGAATTGTTACCTGCTGTTATTTGTGGCTGATGTTGTGGTTTGTGTTGAATGTCACGCAGCGTGCGAGAGCGTTGTCTCGAGGAGCAGAGGCGGCGGAGGCAGCGGGCCACGAAGAAAATCAGTACCTTCATTGGTACCTTCATTCTTTGCTTTGCCCCTTATGTAATCACAAGGTAAGTGTGAACCTACATCCTGGAAAAGGCTGCTGAGATGCACTCCTGGCTCAGGGAAGCAGGGCACTCTGAGCCAGAACAGGATTCCAGTCTCCTGGGGAAATCTGACACGCCGTTTCCACTCCTGCAGCAGAGGTTGCATTTACTGAGCTAACAAATGATGTAAAACGTCCCAGTGCCTTCTCCCCTCAGTCCTGATGCAGTCTGAGGGTCAGACTCTGCTCACTCAGCCCAGTCAATGTGCTGCTTGCATGGGAGGGATTTAGGAAATCACTCTTTTTGCAGATGATGCCACAGGTTTAGCTTTTCTATTTTTCACGGCATCACAGACATTTTTTGTTGTCACCTACTGCTCTGACTGACTTCCCAGTCCAGGGGTTGATCTCCAGGGAAACTCTCGCCTGAATAGCTCAGACTGTAAAAATTTGGTCAGCAAGATTCTACTGAGGTGAAAACATGGTCCACAGACTTAAGCAACAGTTTTGTCTGATTGGGTAGGGTTTATTAGTCATAAATATCAAATATCAAAGCTGTGCTGGCTCATAACTGAAAAATCTTCTCATGATTTATGGTAGATATCTATCCAGCAGGTTATCTTTGGAAATGGCTCCTGTGGGAAACACTAAATTACTCCTGTGAAATAAAAAGTGTTAGAAAGTGAGTACATCCAGAAAAACATTATCTAGCTGTTAATGGAAATTTACAGCTTGCATTCCTTATTATAAGATTTTGGAAAAACTGAGATGCTGCTATGCACAACAGAGAAAGAAAAAAAAATTAAGGTAACTCCTATTCCAATAGTATTAAGTAGAAATTAGTGGGGCTGACCTCATTCAAACTCAGACCCACCTTGAAAAAATAATTGAAAAATCTGGACTAAGAGTCAATATAATTGAAGATTTGGCCAACCTTGAGCTTTTCAAATTCAGTGTAATACCCTGAATTCCCAGAATTAGAAAATTTAATTAATTTACTAGAACTACCTTCACTTTCACTTCATGGCCACAAGACACCACAGCAAGCCATGCACTTAAATGGTAAGAAAGGCTTTGTAATTAAGGACATTTATCCTTAATTCTCAAGCTGTAAGATATTAAAGTATTTGTCTTTTTGCAAATGGTTAATTTTCATTTCATGTTAGGACTCTGAACTTACTGAAAATCCTCCCAGTCACAGAATAGCTGGCAGCTCATCCTGAGTGACACCGAATGCTCTAACCAGAGCTGTCAGGACTATTTTTGTGCTCCTCCAAAGTCATCTCAGCACTCAGGCACCACCTCCCCATCTCCTCTTCACTCCGTGGCATCCCAATTTGTGTCCCAGTAGCCTTAAAATACAGAAGAGGAGATAGAAAATCCTGAGCCTCCTCCCTTTAGTCTGTACAAGGATCACTTCAATGTTCTCTGCTGAGGAACAGCTTCTCCACAGAGGGTGATGGTGAGGAGAGGGAAATTGCAGGGTCCTGGATGCATGAGGACATTTTGGGGTAGGGTGGGAGCTGGTCAGACATGTCAGGAGGGGTGAAGTCTCACACATTCCTGGCCTTTTCAATTCTGACATGTGTAAAAAGGTGTCTGTGGATGTTTCTGTTTTTCCAATTCCCAGAGCTGCACAGCAGGCTGAGGGGAATTCCCTCTTGATCTCCCTGAGAGCCCTTGCTGGACACCTGCAGGGCTGGATATTCCAGGACACCCATCCCTGCCTGCCCTGGGCCTCACACTCAGGGCTGAGCACCCAGACACTGAGAGGACTGGGGGAATTGGAGTTTAATTGTGTGAGCAAGTGTGTAATTGTGTGTAATTTCTGGACCACGTCCAGTGCTTTGCATTCTCAAAAGGGACATGATCAATCAGTGCAAGCTGTGGACAGAAGTCAGGAGAGGGAGTGCCTCGCTCAGCCTCTCCTAATCAGCAATATATTTCAGTTAAACATGATTTTAAGTACTCCCTGAGCTGGGGGCTGGCAGCAGCAAATCACAAGGTTTCACTACAACATCTTCCTGTCTCCACACTCAAAATACTCCATGAACGAGTGAAGGGGTTGTGCTCATGAACCCAGGCAGATAAATGCTTCTCTGGGTAAACCTGAGTTTTTCAGATCACATTGAGGCAAAAATCAGATTAGGCACTTCATTTATCAAGACAACACCCTTCTAATTAGTTCAGTAGATGACCTTAAGTAATGTATCAGAATCTGATTGCCTTTGACCCAGTGTTTCCACTTTACCAGCATGACAGCTGTAATCCCCCCATTATATATTTCTAGGCATAGCTTGCTTCTTCTTTTGTTAAATAATCTACTGGTACACATTTCTTCCTTTGCTGTATTTATCATTATGCAATTAAATATATTTGTTCCAAACCTCTTTTCTCCAAGGAACTTTTTCATAAGAAAAATGAAGAAAAGTCATACAAGTTCCTAAAATATCCAGGCATTTCATACTGAAATACAGAACTTTGCTCATGCAAGTTAATAAGTGCTGTTGATGTGTGAGGAAATTGGCCTTAAATTAAAAATCCTGAAGTAATAGCAGGCAGAAGTTCATAATCCTATGCCCTCAGGTTACAGAGGAGGATGGTGGAACAGGCAGAAGATAATTAAAATTCTGTTGTATCATCCCTGGGGGATATGGGGGTAAGCAAACCCTGGTTTTAAACTGTTTTTCGCCCTCTGCATATGCAGATCCTGCTTGGGCACACAAGAAGTTCAGAATTCTTCTGCAATTTTGTTCTTCAGCATCCCAGCTGGGTGGGCACATGTTCAGTAAAATATTTTAGTGTAGTGATCAACTGCACATGTAAATAAAGGATTTCCAGTGTGCATTATCTGTGTAAAGATCAAGGTCACACTCTTCAACATGGCATTCTTGTTTGTTTACTGAAGGGGAAATAAAATAATTGGATAGCCATGTTAAATGACACACTCTACAGAGCTGTAAGTTTCTAAAATATGACCAAAACATCACAGAAAAAGAGCTTACAGCTTTGAAATAAAAAGGGCAGACAGTAGAAAAGAGGCTTATGAAAGCAAGGCAGGGAATTATGTTGATACTGTAAAATTTAATTTACAGGTAGCACTGAAATATTAATGTTCATTCACTGAAAATGTCTTCTTTTAGGCTGAAACATTTCATGAAAATGGAAGCTGTGCATATAATTTCCCTCACAAATGAGAAACAAAACCTTTCAAAGGCAATAAATTCTGTGATGTGCCTTGAAAGGCTGACATTTAATTGTTTGTACATGAAATGGAAATGCATAGCTCAGGGTTTTGCTACATTTCTGTGTTTGCTGCTTGATAACAGCAAATGTAATTTACTGTAAAAAACAATGCATGAGAATTGAAAAATGTGTAAATGTCAAGGAGGCTTACAGAACGCAAGGAAAATATTTAAGATCTTGTTAATAAAAGTGTAGGCTTTTCATTTGATCAGTCAATGAAGGTAAAATTAGCAAGTCTAGGCTTGCAACCCTGAAGTGTCTGCATGATGTGCTTTAAATGGAGATTGTTAATGTCTCATAGAACTGACTGACAGAGCCTCAGACACAAATTTGTCATATTTTGGTTATTCAAGGCATCCGCTGAATTTAATTAAACGTAATCAAATTCACATCTGTAAAGCACTCAGTAAAAATAAATCATCCAAATGAGATTCAACATGGTGAAATTCAAAACGTGAAGCAGGCATCAAATAAATGAAGTGGAGAACAACAAGGATGGCTCATGGTAGATTACAAAGCAAATATGACTCAGTAGATGATTAATTTCAAAATTGTCAATTCTCATTTTAGAACACGTTAACGTAGATGCCATAAGTTGCATTTTATTAAAGAAGAGAGAATACACCAGATGAGACCACCTGGAAACTCGAGCAGATGAAAATTATGTCTCAGTTCTGATCCTTGTAGGAAAGATAACAACCATGAATTACAGGGAGAGGCTGAAAGAACATTTGTTTATTTGAGATGAGAGAGAAATGGGACAGATGAGGGCTCTTTGGAGACCTCGGAGCTGCTGAGCTCCACCAGTGGAGTGGCACCAACAATTCCCAAGTATTTTCATTCCCTGGTCACCTGAACTGTCCCTCACATTGACTGGACTGTGACATCTGCCAGCATTATTTTAAATAATATGTTGTAGTGCAAGGTTATGAAATGGGAAAGACTGAGGAAAAAAGAAATCCTCATCTCTAAACTGTTTGAAGTACCAACATTATTGTCATTGCTGCTGCAGGAACCACCCTCCAGAATGCTCCTTGGAAGTGGAGCTTTGTCTGCAGAAACGAGAGCAAATGAAGCATTTCCCAGATTTAAGAACATATGCTGCTGCAGACAGGTCCAGCAAAGACCTGACCTGCCATGTGGGGCTCTGTAACAGCACATGTGGCTGTTTGACCTCTATAAAAATCAATAGTTTCTAACAGCTATAGAGGCATATTGAACAGAGTTGCCCTTTGATGTGCTCAAAGGCGTGGGGAGTTATCAATATTTCCCTGTCAAAAATGCTCTCATCTGGGCGAGTGTAGGTATGAGTATATTTCCTCCTCCCATAATAATTTAAAAGTTTTGTCTTGCCATATTTGTTTCAAAGGTGAATCCTTGCCCTTTGAACTGCCCAGTTTTTAAATTCAAGGTACAATATGCCATCTCTCAGCAATGAATTTTCTGTGTGTGCTTCTACAATTCAGACAAATTGTTCTGTTCAAAGGCATCAACTCTTTTTAGGAGCTGGACGGTCCCAGAGAGCTGGTTAGCCTTGGTGAGGTGACTCAGATGCTCTAGAGAGGACCAAGAGTTCAGACTGATGCTGGGTTTTTACGTTGCTCATAGTAGAGGAATTTGACTCCCCTGAGACCAAGCAATGGCACTTTGGCAAGCAGGCCTCAAATTTACCTTTGCAGCCTTTAAAATTTATAAGAGGAGGACAACATACACATTTTCACGAGTAGGGCTTTCTTTCCTTTAGTTTTGTTTCAACTGCCAAGCAGTAATTTGTGGGTTTGGGGTGGATTAATGTAATTTTTAATGTTTTAATGTTTCACCCCCCCTCTTTCCCCAGACTTGTTGAATTATCCTCCGTGGTCCACATCAGCTCCCACTGGGGGATCATTTCCAAGTGCTTAGCTTACAGCAAAGCTGTTTCAGACCCTTTTGTGTACTCTTTGCTACGGCACCAGTACAAGAAGACGTGGAAGGACATCATAAACAAGATCCTCAAGAGAAGCTCCATCAACTCCTCGGCGCTGGCGGGCGAGCCGCACAACCGGAACCTTCCGCAGCTGAACGAATGAGGAGCTTGGCACGGCACCTGTCTAGGGATATTTGTGAAACAACAGCAACTGGCCCACCCCTAGTAGCTCTCCTCAGCTGCCCAGGTTTTGGGAGGCAGCTGTGGGCAGGGTGAAGCCCAGACCGTGTCCCTCCAGCAGCCCGTGTCACATCCAGGCCGCTCTGGACCTCCTCCCTCCGACTGGAAGAGCGCTATTGATCCGTGGTCCTGCAGGCTCCACAAATACAAATCTCCCATTGATTTCCATCGCAGCTGCATCTAGAGATAAAAAAACCAGTCCTCAGCAGAGGGATTCATGAAGGTAATGGGAGCAAACTGCTGCTGGTGTAAGATTATTCTGAAAAGCTGCGCAGGGATATTTGTGCTGTGTTTGTCGTTGGCTGCAGGTAAAGCTCCTTCTGATGTAGCTGCCAACGTGGTTTTACAAAAACCACCACACCCTCGCGGCTTGAGAAGGTTGTTTGTAGAAAATATCTTAATGGGAAAAGCTTAAAAAAAAAAATCTAAATAGTCATCCAGTGCCCAATGCAGTTCAACCTTTTCTGATACATATTTTAGGAAGAATCCTGTAGAATTGAAGGAAGAGTAAAACCACTTCTGGAGTGTGCTGGATTCAGCCATGTCTTCTCTAAATTTTAAAAGTTATTTACATAGAATCCCACTAATATTCTCCCCATTAAATTTCAGGAAAATACAAATGGTAGACAGGGTGGAAAGGTCAGGATGCCTCCTGCCTACCTTCCATATATCTGAGCTCTGAGTAGCTGGATTTTGCCCAAAGCTGCAGATCTGGGCCCTGTGCCCAGGAGGAAAAATAACAAATCTCTTTTCCTGAGGAGTTATTAATCATGGGGCTTTTTCCTACTTAAAGGAAAGATGAGCCTAAATCTGAGTTTCAAGTATAATTTCCAAAGCAAGTGGAGCACAAATAATAGGCCCCCTCTCTCCACCATGAAAGTGGAACCAATAATGTGAAGCCACATCTGAATGTGCAAATCTCTGGAGGTGTCAGTAGAAATCTTTATAGCTCTGGATTGCAGTTCTGCATAGGAACATTATTAACATTTACCATGCACTCAGATGCCTGCCCAGATTTTAAAATAGGTTTGGTTAATTAGGCTTCATGAGTGCAATGGCAGCTTCAATAACAGCTGACACAACTGGCTGTCCTGCCATTTATCCCTGCTCATATTCCATCTGTCAATGCCATTCTGAGGAAATAAGGCCTCAAGTTGTAAAAAATGTGGGATTACTTTTTAGTTGCCACCTTCTCTCATGGAAGAGAAGGGCTTGGTGTGTTGCAAAAAATGTCCACTGTTGGATTTTCCGGGCTCTGATTCAGTGGGGTCTCAGTGCGGGGCTTCACCCCAAAGTCAGTGAATGTAGGGTAACACCTCAGTTATTATCTGAAGATTATCAGCTGCCATGTAATTAAAAATTTTCAGCTTAATTCTTAATTTCAGTTATAAAAAATATCATAATTACAATAAAATCCACATGTAATTATAGCCACATAATTTAAGGAAGCTTTTAAAACACTGCATTCAAATGAGCCCTTAGCCAGATTAAATAGTCTACCTCATCTTAATCATTTTGCTTCTTAGGCTTAACATAATTTTCTCAGGTGCAATAGATAAAAACACCCAGTTGAATACTTGTTTCTTAAGAAATCCAAGACATACTGACGATTGGATTGTATTAGACTATAGGATGTTAGAAAGTTGAATATTATTGAGTTTAAAAAGCTCCATATTGAGCATGGTTGGCTTAAACTGAACCAGGAAAGGCCACAGCTGTTGTAAACTTACACATGGAGCTGATGCCAAAGCCAATGGGAGGTTCGTATGTCAATAAGGGCAGCTCCAGAAACATTTAAACCTTCAAATTCAAAGAGAGTAAGCTAATTTCCCAGGAGAAAAAAGCATAATCCATGTAGGATGTCTAGTAAAAGATGGAGAACACAGCACTGGACGTGTCTCATTATGCTTGTGTATCACAGTCAGTCATTGGTTGATTTATATCCCACCATGAGCAATAAATCTCTCCCCTTGTATGTGTTTAAAAATTTGTCTCTCTTTCATGGTGCCTTTCTTCCCTAATTAATCTTGTAACAGAGAATAGATATGATTTCCCCTTCCTTGCATCAGCTCTCTGTCATATTTTGACCATCTGAAGCAAGCAGGAGTTGTAAATGCTGGTGCTTGACAAACTGCCTCAGTACACGAAATAAAAATACCACCCCAACATTTCCTGATGACATTTTATAGGATACTCAAAATATGATGCTGTGGCTTGTTAAGTGCTAGATTTTCAGCTGAATTCTTATAGGCAACTGGCAAAATTTTCTAAAATGTGTGTCTCAGTGATGAATGTAGATATGAGTAACTATCTGTCTGCTGAGTATTATATGTACTACACAACGCTCTGGCTGGAGTGAGTTAAAATCATGCTGGTAAATGTAATGCACAGTATTTATTACCTCTGCTCATGAAGCAGAGTCCTTCTCTTGTCTAACACATGTGTGTGCAAGGGGAAGTGGGGGGGTGGGGAAATTTCCATTTGTTACTTCAATATTTTTGAAAAAAAGTTTGTCAAGTTTGGCTGCAACCTGTGCCCAAAATCTGGAGCTGCATGTGCAAAATCTGGGCAGCTGCTTAGGCAATATGCAGATTTCTGTTTGTTGTATCTGTGACCCATATGCAATATCTACTCCTCACACGCATGTTCAATTAACATTTCCTTCAGAGCTTGTGAATTTGGCAGGCAGAGCACTGGCAGATGATTAAGAGAATGTAGTCCACCGCGTTGTTTTGTGGATTCTGAGCTTTTTCCTTTGTTCATTTGAACGGTTTTTACACCATTTCAGAGCCCTCGCTGTGAGCTGTGATGCTGGTTCCTGTTTTTCTCTTGAGCCAGTTTGAATGTGAAAATCTGGGTAATTGCAGCTGGCAAAAACTATGAGAGACTGATAAGGATTTTTGAACAATTATTAAGTACCAGGCCCTCTCTTTACATAAATCAAAATAAAGGGGGTTTCACCTGAGGATTGGGTCCATTAGGTGACTTTATCCAGGGTTTATAGATTTCTTCTCTATGTGTAGGGCCCTGGTTTTATGGTACTTACAAATGGAAGGATGTGAACAGGATTTAGGGAGTTCCTCTGATGTGCAAGTGCTCACTTCCAATGTCAGGCAGTCACGTAAATAATTAAGTTCTATCCCTGTTCTTACACTTTGAGTAGATGACCCTAAAAACCTCTTTTCAGTAGCCCTAAATCAGACTTTTTAGAACTTCCCTTATGTCTGAAAAAAAAAAAAATCCTACAAACCTAGAGATGAAAAATGTTTCAGACAAATCCTGATGGAGCCTGATGGCTGCTGCAGCTGTAGCCACATATGTCACAGCATCCCAGACCAGCTGAGGTTGGAAGGAACCTCAAAAAGCCCCCAAAAGCCCCCAAAAGCCCCATCCCTGCCTCTGGCAATGATTTACCCTCAGCTTTGCCAAAACACCTAGAAAATTATCTTGGTCTGCTTCAGGTCAACAGTAAAATCTTCTGGCAAGGATATTTTTTTAAAAATAACTTTGAGAAGACATTTTAGACTAAACTTCAAAACCCAGCTGTACCAGAACATCTTTAGGAGGCTCCAAAAGTGAGGCAGGAATGGATGTGGATGGGAGGCTGGGAAGTGCAAACTGCTGCAATGGTTTGGGATTCCTTGGCTGCAGTGAGTTTTTCCCAGTGCCCTCTTTCCACCCTGAGAGCTCTCTAAGTCTCTCACTCATTCCAAAGAAAAAGGTGAAAATCCTGTCGAAGACCTGTAGCTGTGCCATAGACTGGGCTGACAGCTGCCATGAGAGGATATTTTGGAGTTTGGGAAGACTCTTATGGTCTTCAGATAGTTTTTATGGAAACTACTCACATAGTTTGAATGACCAGAGTCTAATTCTTAAAGTCCAGGAGGTTTAGGTCACCTGCAGAATGTGAATTTTTCTGGACCTACATGCCCAAGGTTTCATAGTTCCCTCACCTCTTAATCCTAAATGAAGAAGGCTCTGAATACCTCATCCTATACATTTTTATGTGTACAGTGAATATCTCTGGAATAACCCTTTGGAAATTGCTTTTCAGTGCTGTTAGACCTGTCTTCTCCCCACACTCAGTGTTCTTCTGATTAAACAAAGCTTAAAAGCAAAGACAGAGAGTTCACACCTCTGTCAGCTCGTTGTTACTTGACTCTGAAAGTCACTGATCAGCACGGAAAGCTCAGTTAGATCCTGACCCAGAGTCACTGGGTGTTTGCTTTGCTGGATTGTGAGGGCTGAGCACAGGCTTTTGTGTCTGCAGAATCAGGGATTATGTCTTTGTAACCTGCCCAGACCTGAATAAGTGAGAACAATGACATCGTAGCCTTAAATCTATTTATTTTTAATTTGCTTCTTATGCTTTCAGTATTCAATATAGTGAAAATTTTCTATGGGTGAAGTATTTTTTTTTTTAGGAAAACCATCCTGCTCCAAAAGGCAGCTATCCCTGTTGGGAGGGTATAGAAGTTTACACAGAGAAAAGAGCTGCTGCAGTCTTTGTAAAATGTCAGCTTCTTACCTGTACTCCTGGTGTGTTTGGTGTAAATATGTATTTAGGATTGTTGGTTCTTAAGCAAATACTGATGATCTATGAGCTGAAGAAGTTGCTCTAGTTTATCATATATGTCTATATTTCTAAGGAGGAGGATTAGCCCTACAGGCTCTAAGTGCCCTTCAGAAATGTGTGTGCCAAGAAGCAAAAGCATCAGGGGTGTGACAGCAGGGGTGGCAATTGAGGAGTAAAATAACATTTTTTTTTGGTTGAAGAAATGCTATTTGACATGGTTTCAATATACCCAAAGGCACAAGTCCATATGGCTGATTATTTACACACAAAGTCATGCTGGGGAAAGGATTTCCATCTGGAATTATTATTGAGTCAGACAATCATGGAGGGGTTTTGGGTTGGAAGGG